TTAAAAAGTTGTTCTAATAATAGACCGCTGTTCATGATTGCTCTGCTCCGTAGGTATCTTTCGGTTAGGTGGGGAATTGAGCTTTCCAAAATGGTTGTGTTTACCGGGGAAAGAGGCGACACTGATAATGAAGATCTGCTTGCTGGCCTTCAGAAGACCTTAATTTTAAAGGGCTCTGTTGAGTTTGGCAGTGAAAAGCTTATTCGAAGCGAAGACGGTTTCAAAAGAGAAGATGTAGTACCACAAGATAGCCCTAACATTGCGTTTTCGGAGAGCTTTGAAGCCCATGCTATCTCGGCAGCTCTTGAAGCTCTTGGAATAAAGTGATTTCAGTATCTCCTTATCGTACGCCTTTCTCTTTTTGTCTTACTCACAGTATCTATACTTCATAGCTCATAAGCAAAACATATTAATACCCTATAGTAAACAAGACACATGTGTATATCTCAACTCGTTCCTGCTGGTTGTAACTAATGTAGTTTCTGGAATAACTTACATGTAAACTGGTCGTATTTCTGTTTGTCCAGATGAAATTTATTTCGTTACAGATTATACAAAAGAAAAAGGCTCTTGTAAACGAAATGGAATCCACTAATATCAAATGAACTCCATATTTTCTTTTTAGTGACCGCGACCTTTTTCATGATACAAGGTTGTTTCTTGGCGGGTGTTCAAATGAAGTAATTTTCTACCATTTCTTCCAAGACAGATAAGAAAATTCTTCATTATGAGAAATGGCAAATTTAACACAACGTCTATTATGATTCATCACCAAGAGTATTGCTAGTGAAACATTTTCGATATAAGAGAACTCTTACAATTTACAAACAAAGAAACACAGCGTCTATATGAGAAAAGTTTCAATATGAAATTCCTCTTACCATATTATTTCAGGACTTAGTCTGCGCTGTTATCAACTGCAAGTCATTTACTCTAGTCAATAGCTTCTTTTTCCTAGTTCTGTGCACGCTAGCACTTTTGTTATGCACAAAGGTCTGTCCCAACTCTGTATTCCTCGCCGCATGCACATTTAACAACATGAGAAATGCCCTGTGAAAAAGCAGAATTCAGTTAAAGAAAACAAATGCAAATTCAACAGAATCATGGTGGATTCTCAGAGATCAGGGACGCTACAGACAATCAGGAGCAAATCAGTTTGACATTGACTTCAGGACCGTGGAAATGAAATGTAAAACATGTGCTTCGACAAAGTTTACTTTTACTCTGTAAAAGTTTGAATGCCAAGGCAAAATCTCGTTACTCCACTTACCTTCAATATATCAACTTGGGCCTGAAGAGACTGTAAGTACTCTGTTACTCCAGCCTTATCTGACAAAAGTGTATTGTATTCTTTTTCCAGGGTCTTTAAATCCACCGCCCTTAGAAGTGGCTAAAGTCGGACCACCCATGAAAAAGGAAGACTACAAATAAGTAGATAGTGTAGAGGACTACATGCACAGTTGTACATCATAAAAGACAACACTTCATCAGAACTGAAATGACGAAAACGTATAATAGAAGCTTGTAAACTTTCCTCATACTCGCAACTAAAATTGAATATTCAGTTATCTGTTCAGCAGAAACGTTAATAAATATTGGCATAAAAACCAAATCGATTATGTGATGTCTATTTTTTCAGACGCACAAAGAGTACGGTGTTAGCAACCTCAGAATATTCCACTTTTACGGTCCGAGTGTTTGAGTCTGTACTAAACCTGTTTTAAAGAACAAACCCAATTTAATGCACACACATCAAATATACTGATCATGTATCTGACCTCAAAATCATATGCTCTAGAGTTAACTTGCTTAATAGCCTGTTTCACCTGAAAGGTACAAGTACAACGTCAGTAAATGTAATAGTGCCCTATCTTAGGAAACCTTTTTGGTGGGATGATGAAATCATATTTACTAGGCAACCTTTTTGTTCTTCATAACGAGCTTGGATTTCATTTCTGAAATCTCATCCACCTTGGCCTTAGCAGAGTCCAACTTAGCCATTAGATTTTTCCTTGCGTCATTTTCCTGTTAGTCCCAAAGACAAACTATAAAAGGTTGCAACTTCATATTTCTAAATGATAGATGGAAGAAGTATTTTATTAGATGGCCGTGGTTGAGGTAGTTTTCTGAGCTATACGTCCCCTCAGAAATATAAAGAACTACAACTCTCTAAGAGAAGTGACAGAAAATAGTTTCTTATTCTATCCCTTTATTACCAAAGATATTACAGAGTGGAAAAAGCTGTTAGATTAAACAAGAAAAAATCCAACAAACACTGGTATGCATCCTTAAAAAATCAAAAGGCAACAAAAAATCCATGCGAAGAAAGAAAGAAGTGAAGAAAAAACAAGGACGGACCGTTCCATGCTTTCCTGCTTCTCCACTAGTCACGAGAGAATTGAAATAGTCCTACCACATACACATTTAGAGGAAAAATCTCTTAGTAAAAACTATGGAGCACAACCATACACACAAGGGACTTTTAATACAAACCTTCTGTTCTTGTAACCTGAAGTTCATATCTTTTGTAACCTTCTGGTAGTAAGTCCTGTCATAGCAAACATTTTAGAGTGATTATATTTATAACTGCACAATATTTAGTGCACTTCAATAACTTTATGGTTTTCAGATTGTATTACCTCTTCTCCATAAGTTTGGCGGATAAGCCGGTTTTTTCTTGTTGAATGAGCTCCAAAGTCTACATATCCAATGAGTTTTGGGAAACAGAATCAAGAAAGCAGCAAATAAATATGTCACAGTACTTTAAGCAAGCATTTTGCAGACAACTCCTAACAACTTGGTATTTAAGTTTGTTCATATTTAGTTCAAACAAACTTGTACTTATTTCCATGGATTTGCCTTAATACAAGAGAGTTCAATCACTTTTGGAGCACCATTTCTTCAGATCGTACTGTTTTAACACAAATACAAGGCTACCTGGGAAAGGGTGGATGAATCACTCTCCAAAGAAGCTATCATTCTCTGCTTCTCCAAAATCTGTGAGCATATTTCTCCCTTTGCCTTCAACATCCCCTCAATGTCTTCTTTCAGTTTACTTATTTGAGATTTTGCTGCAAAATAATTCAGGAGAACATAACCTAAGAAAACTTGGCAACAAGTAAATTGAATGAATGAAAAATGCTAAAAAGAATAATAAATATGCTTATTTGCTTTCAGATTAATGTTTCTTCTTCGGAGTATCATAAATATAAATATGCTTAGATATTGGAACTCTAATAGAAAGATTTAATTGCAGGAAAAACATAAATATACACGATTTATATGCAAATATGAAACTGCTTCTTTCTTTATCTCCCTTTTTTTTTTTTTCAGAAATTGTCATGGATACGTAATTAATATAAGAACCTGGACGATTAATTAAACTAATCAGAAATATTGAATTGGAGTGATAATTGGAAGAAGAAGAATGACCGGAGAGGAGATCGTTTTCCAAGGTCTGAATGATGGTCAATTGCCTCTGCTCTTCCACTGAGAGCTTCGCCGCCTGATCTTCCACATCTACATTCTCATATTCAAATCCAAATTCAATTTCAAGTTCAAAAAAATAAAATCGCAATAAGCAAAATCATCCTCAATTGAGCAGAGAGAGAGAGAAAGAGAGAGAGAGTAGACCGTTCATTTGAGTGCGCAAGGTCTTCATGAAGTGCAAGTATTCGTCCATTTTCTCTGAGCTTTACTCGAAATTGAATTCCCAGGCAAAGATTTTACTTGATTCAACTGAGAATTCCTTCCTTCCAGTTCCACAAAGAGATTGAAAACAGATTGATTTGCAGGAAAAATCACGTCGCGGAGAGTGTGAGAGAGAGAGAGAGAGAGGCTTGCGTTGCCTTTATACCATAACCATAACCATTACGCGCCCTTTCTACTTTTCCACTTTTTGGAGGGAAAGAAAGAGGGTTTCTTTCTTATATAATACACATTGAATAGCAGGCCCAGGCCCATATAAGGCAGGGCTCAGGGCCCGGTTTCAGTTTTGGCAACAGAAGAGAGAGAGAGAGAGAGAGAGAGTTGTTGGAAACAGTGGACGCTTTGAAAGAGAGAAAGAAAGAAAGAAAGAGGTGATTTTGATTGAATAAATGTGGGAGAGACATGGCATCGAGAGTGGGAAGAAGAGAGTCAGCGTTGTTATCTTAGACTCGGAGGCATGGTGATGGAGGTCTCTCTCTTTCTGGATTAATTGGATTTCCCAATCCCAAGAGACTCACACAGAAGAGAGTGCTCCGAACAATCATCATAGTAAGTCTGGTCTTCATCGCTCTCTTCCCCCCAATTTTCTTCCACTTCCGGCTCAAGCGTCTTCATCAGGTTTGTTTGTTTTTTCATCTCTCTCTCTCTCTCTATCTTACGTACGTGCTCATGTTGCTTTTGTTCTTCTTTCATTGATTCATGAAGATTAATTTTTATTTCATGACGTTGTTTATTTTGTGTTCGTGTTGACTCCCCCTGTACAGATCCAGGTAAAAGGGTGTGGTTGGATAAACCATCCTCCCTTAGTTTGTGCCCACGGCGGTGACTCTTCCAACGCCTTCCCCAATACTGTTTGTCTATCCAATTTTACTCTTTATTTATTTTTTATTATTGTATTTGACATTTAACAGAGCGTCTGCTAAAAGCTTCCATTTTCATCATTAATTTATGTATTCACCAACTGGACTAGGGAAATGCCTATAAATTAACATCTCTCGACTTTCATATTTCGAATTGAAATAGCATTTTTGTTTAGCATGGATCGCACTATTCAAGTACAACATTAAATCCCTTGAGTTTTGCCCCATTCACTAATTGTGTGAGCTTAACACTTTAAACAGATGGCTGCATATGACTCTGCTATTCGCTCTCGAGTAGATTGCATAGAGATTGATGTTTCTCGTTCTTCAGATGGAGTTCTTTTCGCTCTCCATGACAGGTAGGTTTTGGAACGTTTTTATGATACATGCACCACGCCCTTAACTGCTCTTTGAAAACTCATTATTGCCTTTCTCGTCCCATAAAATGAATTTGCTCAAGTAATAGCTTCTCGACCATAGATTTAATACTGTAATGGCACAGGCAGGGATTTGCAGCGCATCTCTGGTAACACTAGTTCTAAGGTCGGACACTTGACCATGAAACAGGTCAGAAGATACAGCAACTATTCCTGATGATATGTTCTAGTTCTATCAAGAGCTCTACGCGGCGTTGATTGATATTGCATTTTAGCTTTCATTGTAGATACAAGAGCTACGCAGTCTTCATCAACATGCCCAGCAATTTGACGGTGGAAAAATTCCCACCATTGAAGATGCCTTAGAGGTACTCTTTCCTCATTACACTATCCGCTAACATCTTTATGCTTACTTTTCTTCTTCTTCTTTTATGTTCCTCTTATTGTTGTTGTGTTTCTTTCTATGACGCTGTTTTTTTTACGGATTTTCCTAGTTCGTATCAGGCTCAGTCCGGCAAGTGATTCTAGATGCAAAGGTTGGACCTCCATCATATGAAAAGGGGCTGGCTGAGGATATTCTTTCTGTTGTAAGTTTATTTTCTCCCTTTCCCTGATTTTGAAATGTTATGGACGAGTAATATATTTTATTTAAACCTAGTTTTGTAAAGAAGGTTGGGTTTTAGACTTCTTGTACATCCTCCCATCTGTCTATTTAAAACTGATCTGCGTAGGCGAGCTATATTTGGGTAGTTAATCCAACAACAAACTAGTATTGACTATTGCGAAAAGCAGTGGTACCCTTATCATTAGCCTTTATGTCTACTTTTCATTTTATTTCTCTCTCCGACTTTTCCTATTTCTCGGACAGAGTGAACATGTACGAACTCCTCTTTCTTCTTCATTTTCTTCATTTTTATCTCTTCGTTTTGTCTATCTCTCTCCAACACTGCTGCTTTTCCTTCTTTGTTCTTTTTTTCACCGAAAACACAGTCATTCATACACGAAGCATGATGAAACGGAGAAAGGCCACTGTTCTTTCTATCAACAAAAAAACCATCGGTTCTTTTCTGCTAATGTGATATGATGTGTATTTATTTTTATAGGAATATAACTCATGAGAGTAAAGACTAGAAATGTTTTTGAAAGGAGAGAGAAGTAGACTGAAATATGGAAAGTTAGTTCTTTAATTGGATTTTCAGCCAAAAAAAAAAGTTTTTTATTTGGAGACATCTACCATGAGACTCATAGAGAAAAGTAGAAGTTGGAGAGAGACGACAGATTAAAGGGCACGTTTAGAGGGGAAGTTGGAGAGAGGAGAGCAAAGTTAAACGGGTGTTACACGGAAAAGTCTCTTAAAAAGCCACCAAAATTTTTAAATGAGGTGGTGTAATATAAGTGGGTTGGACACGGTTTGGGACATGAAAAATTAGACAGAGGATCTCAGTCCGCAGAAAAAGGGTGGAATATTACAGAGTACGTAAAAGTGAAATAGTATCTGTCTTGCATTTACTGTGGCTGCGGATATTATTTTCTGGTAGCTCTAACGCCGAAACCTATGATCACCATCACATCATGTTTCAATCTGTTGTTGCTTTCTTGAATTTATCTCGAGTGCATAATTATGTTGGTTGAGGAACCCCTTTGAGTTACATGGCACAACTAATGCGTGTAATTGATTATCAAACAACACATATAGCTGATTGTAGTGTGGAAGCATCTGCCACCAGTAACGAGTGAGCTCAAGCATATATGACCTGCTTGCGGCAAGTTTCCATTTGGTTTTGTACTTTGAAGAATCTTAGGCCTAGTTCGTTTAGCTCGTTTGAGTTAAGATTTTGAGTTAAAAAGTAAATTCACGTGAGAGAAAACGCTGTAACAGAAAAAGCTGAATTTAAATTTTTATGAGAAAAAACACTATAGCAAAAACTTGAGTTATAATTCGAATTAACGAAACGAATGGGGCCTTAGTTTTGCATAACATGTCTATTTTTTTTAATAATGCTAGTTTACCTTTTTTATGAAAACAAGTATTTTTCAGGTCAAAAGGACGCAGTGTAAGAATTGCCTTGTATGGGCTAAAAGCGACAGTCTAGCTAGGGATTTGATCAAACAATCACCAGACACTATGGTAACAACAAATCTACCGCGCGTTTTCTATAAAAATCCCATCTCTTTTTCTTGGAAAACTGATGGACTAGATTGTTTCGGTGAACATAATTTTTCATTGCTAATTTCTTTTCAATATAGTCTACCTGCATGGACTCAACATTTCTTTTCAATATAGTCCAAATCACCTGTATGGACTTGTCATTTTACTTGAAATCCTGACTCTTTCCATGAATTTAAATGCCTAGATTTTCTTCACTGAGTAATTATTGCTATCATCTCCAACTAATTCACGATGTTGGCTTTCTGAGTTTGTTTTTTCAGCCTTTCTAATGTGTGTGGGAATATTATTTTTAGGTAGGCTACATTGTCATGACTGATCCAACAACTGGGCGCAGAACCAATTTATTGCGGATGAAAGATGCTGCTGTGGTTGGTGTGTACCACCCATTGATTGACGAGAAGCTTGTCAGAGTTCTGCACAGGTATACATGTGTCTATATGTATAAGCTTTTTCTTATGTGTTTTCATTTGCGGGGTACATAGTTTTATGCGTGGAGGTTGTTGTTTACATGTTAGATGCGGATTTTAATAGGAGAAGCAAGAAGGTTTACGCATGGACCGTTGACAATGTGACTTCGATGCGAAAAATGTTGTTTGAGGGCGTGGATGCCGTCGTTACAAGCGATCCGACTCTACTTCAACGGCTGATTCAAGATACTAGAATCCAATGTCTTGAGGAAGGTTTTTCATTCTCACAATGATCTTCGTTTCTTCCAAGCACTACACTACCATACATTTTTATGATTAGGTGAATCTGTTGTATAACATATATTTCTTGGGCAATGTCGGGTCATATTCTTTCTTTTAAAAGATTGATATTGATATACTGAAAGGAACGCATTACTTCTGAGTTTGATTGGGGACCTTCTTAGTTAGATGGTCTACCATCCTATACCTTTTACTGTATTATGTACATTTAGCACAGACGTATATGAGTTTTTAATGATATAAATGAAAAAAAAAATCAGAGGAAAAAAAAAAGTGACGCAGTGGAATGAAGGAGAACGGGATTTTACCAGCCTAACCGGGACGGAAGATCTCCAAATCCACCTAAAAGAACCCCATAAGGAAAAAATCTCCAAATTAGAGAGAAAATACTCAAGCTTTGTATTCAATATTAATTATCAATTCTCACTATTACAATAACTAAATGACTATTTATAGCTCACTTACAAAAATGATAACAAAACACTACTAAAACAAAATGATAAATTAGTAATAAAGTAAAGCTAAATTACTAAGTTAGAACAAATGATAAGAAAAATATAGAAACGACTTCTAATAGGTAAATCTCCCTACATCAAAAGGGATGTTAGTTTTGTAAACGACTTCTAATAGGGATGTTAGTTTTGGAGTTTCTAAAATTACCTAGGGTTTGACACAATAATGTAGATTGTGGTTTCTGAATATAGAACAATGATTCTCATCCATCCTCATTCATTTTTTATATGTATCTAGTTCCTTTGTTTTTTTTGGAATTCTACGTCCCAAAATGGAGTCAGATGTGGATTATTAGACTATCTCTAATTTGAATTTTTTTAGTTTTAAAGATATGTACATTAGGTTGGCGTCTTTGTGGTCGGGTTATGGAGTTGTTGAAATTCTTCTATTCAAGGAGATAAAAATATCATAAATTTCGATTAAAATTCTTTGATTCATACGGTTTGTTTTTTACAGATTTTGTAAGAATGAAAGTGATGTGAGATTAATTCAAAGTTGTTGTGAAGTAAGAATCTTGAATATCAAAGGACAAAATGGGAATGGGTGTAAAACTTTTTATTTTTATTTTTCTTAAAAAATGTTATCTCAAGAGAGGATATTGTCGTTTTTGCAATTATTATCGTTTCAGAGTTGTCCCTTCTTGCCGTTTTCATATTTTTCCTTCTGATTATTGTCGTTTTTTCATCGTTGTCGCTTTCCTAATGATTGTTTTTGCCATAGTTTTCCAATAATGTTTTGTCGTTTTCTATGTTGATGTCCTAACTTGTTCTTGTCGTTTACCATGTCCTTATTGTTTTCTAGATTCCTTCATTTCTTATCTGGTTGTTTTTTAGATCATTTCCCGTGTTCACCTGTAAGCGTACGGTGTTAAAAATTTTAATGGTAAATGATGAGTATTGTTTTCACAGAGATTAAGTATTAAATTGTCACTAAGTATCACGATTATTGTAACTCAATTATATCTAGGCAACTGAACTCAATAAAATAAAATTAGAACTAGCACAAATATAAATACAAAAAAAAAATATGGAAACTTCTATGCACAAATGTACTAAGAACTTGACTTTACCTTATTATTCTTATATTCATCCTATCAAACCATTACTAGTTAATTCTACTCAATTAATTAATCAAGGGATCTAATCTAACATCGTTACCTCTCTTGAGCGTCAAACGAAGTTATATGCATGAATACCTAAATTAATATTCCTATCTAACTCGTCTACTCATACACTCATTAAGTTTAGCCCTCAAATTTGAAATCAAATGCCAATCGTCTCTTGGCCTCACAACAATAGAAATCCTAGTTGATAATCTAAGACTTAATCACCTCCTGGTCTCACAATATCCTAAACTCTCAATGAGATTATCTAAGTGTTGATCTTCTCTGGGACTCACAACCACCTAGATTATGTTTCCCAATTTCAGACTATGAAATCAAGCTCTCTCGAACATCAAAATCACAATATAAAATTATCTAATTCATTGGCCACATAAATTAGGAACATTAAGCATATAGAAACATAAATAAATTAAAATTGAATTTAACTAACAATTGACAAGATAATCAAATATATAGTTCAAATAAAGCTACATCAAACCTTAGAATATGAAATCTAACTTGACATAGAGGAATCCATAACTAAAATCACAAAGTCAAGAACAAAAACTAAAAAACTACAAAGAAAAGGGGGAAAGAAGAGAAAATTCTTGTGGAGATGAACTTCAAGTCATCAAATCCTCAAGAATCTCTCTCAAGCATTTTTCAAGAATCTCCAACTCTCTGCGTTTGGAGCAAGAATTCGTGCCATGGTTCAGATCATGATTCGTGGCTCGCTGTAGTATTTTATCTCACAAAAAATACACGTAAACTGATAATTGTTCTGAATTATAGTTTTGAACCCATGAACCAAACATTCTCTCTAGGAATTTTTGTGCCTTTCATCCTCTCCCAATTAGAAACTAGGGTTTCTTTTGCTTAAGTATGCTCAAACATGGAGAAAATCTCAGCCACACTCATCCAAGGTCAAAAATTGGCCATCCATATTGATCAAAGGCTGAAAAATGGCCCATAGTTCGTCATCAGCACGCAGGGGGTGCGACCTCGAGCTTCAGTGGTGTGGCTGCGCAAGTTGTGACATGGGTGGGCGCCTCAGGTGGCGCACCCACACAGGTGGTTCAGCCCAAGAGTGCCCTTGTGCGGCCTTGAGTGCTCTTTGCTCCAAATTTTTACTCCAAAAAGCCATTAAGTCCCATTTTATTATTTTTCCTACAAAATAACACCAAAAATACGTTAAACTTACAAAAATGCTTAAAGACTCACAAATATATATACTCTGAAATACTTAATTTTTTCGATAAATAATCTCTCCATCAGCTTGTCATTACATTGATGACGTTTTATCAATGTTGTCATTTTTCTTTTTATTGTCGTTTTCATGTGGATGTTCTTTCTTGAATTTGTTGTTTCCAAAGGCAACTGTCGGTTTTGGCATGTTTGGTTTGTAGGTTTGAATAGAAAAGTTTAAATATAAATATAAATTTTATGAGAGAAAACATTATAGTAAAAAGGTTTAAGAGTTGTTTGAATCTATGAAACAAACTGAGGGATTATTTATTTTAGTTTCATTTTAAATTGTTGTCGTACGCCGTTTCATGAACACGTTTTTTTTATTACTATCCGGAAAAGATTAAGAGAAAAATTGACATGAGTTCTCTTAGTTTTTTTCTTTTTATTTTCAATTTTCATCTTGTGTCATTTATTTAATAAACTTATCATTATTATTGACCATTTTTTCTTTAACAAGGTTTTTACCTTAGAAGTTTTCTTTTAATTTATTTATTTTTCCTAATAAATAAGAATTGGTAAAATAATTATTTTTTTTAGACTGAGCTCATATGTTTTCTTTTGGTGTCTCTTTTCTTATTCTTCTAATAAAATCTTGACATCTCATTTAATTTTCATGAGTTTTTATTAACATTGTATGATATTATTTGAGGGAGATAAACAACGACATGAATAAAGAGATTGGAATTGATTCCTTCGTTGGGGACTGTGCGTCAATTGTCACATGAAATTTCAAAAGATAAATAAATGGCGGTAAATAATTTTTTTTCCAAGGAGTAAATAAAGTGCTGTTTAGAATCGTTTTTGAAAACGGTTTTTTCTTATTTCAAGAAGCAAAAAAATGAAAATAAAAACGAAACGACGTTTGTTTAGCAAATGTTTTGAAAACGAAAACGAAAATGAAAACAGTGAGAATAATTTTTGTGAATTTTTTAAAAAACAGTTGAAAGTTATTTTCACTTTTTTATTTTCATTTTTTAGTACTTATTTACAATATTATAATATATTAATTAATAAACATGATTTCGCTTTTTTATTAACTTAAAATAATTTTTTAAAAAATTAACCAAACACAATTTTAAAATCGATATCAAAATAATTATGAAAACAATCTTATTTTTACTTTGTATTGAAAATAAAATTATTTTAAAATTAATTCTAAACGCTCATATTTTCATTGTTTTTGGAACAAATAACAAAATATATATATATATATATTTCTTGTGTATGTTTGTGTGAATAAGAACAAAAATAAACGGACAGTATCACTAAATGCACGTGTCGTGGCGTCGCCCATTTGATGTAGAAAGAAATCGCCTGTTTCTCGCAGATGGAGTATTGTGTTCTCACCCAGCGATCTCTGCCATAATTGTGACGTGTCGCAAAGTATCGCCTCCTCAATTGATCTGAATCTGATCTTATTTGAGTTCGTTGAGCTTCCTCTTCCTCTGGCTGTAACAAAACGTACAAAACTGAATCTACCTGCCTTCCAGATTCAACTTCCCACTCTCTTCTTCTTCGTTTTTTTCTCCAAAAAAAAAAAAAAGAGATAAAATCGAAATAGAAAATTGACGAAACATCCAAGTAAAAGAAAAAGATTCCCAGTTCTACTCCGTGATTCTTAATTGTATATTTGTCGGAGTTTTTTTTTTTTTTTTTGGGGAGTTGTGAAAAAAAAAAATCAAAGGCGAATAAAAGCAAGCAAGCAAGCAAAGCAAGAAAGGAGATTGGAAACCCTAGTTAGTTGTAACAATATTAGTTTTGATTTTGAAATTTGATTGGAATAAGTGAGAATTGATTTTGATGGCGAATATTGGATTGTCTGTTTGGTTGCATAAGAAGATCGTTGATCCTCTCCTTCAAATACTTCGCAGGTACTTCTACTTACGACTCCATCTTATCTTCGCAGTTACTAGAGAATTAAACTTAAATGTGTCGTTTAGTTTGATAATGAGAAATGACGAGCCATTTTTATTTTATGTTTTTATAATTATAAATTATTATTATTATTATGAATGCGTAATTGAAGGGGTGCTGAGCCCAAACTGTTGGCTTCATCTGCGGCGGTGGGCATTACCTTGGGAGTGTTTCCCATTTGTGGTATGTTTTTTCTTCCTCATTTTCCTCAAAAATGGTCCTTCTAATCTGATTTTGTTTAATTCACAAACACTAAAGCCGGGACCTTTTGGGTCGCTTGATTGTGTAGTTTCGACGTCTACTTAGACTCAATCACGTATCGTGTCTTCGTTTTCACAACTAGGATCGCACATTTTCATCCCAGCATGATCCCGCCTGAAATACTCTCTAAACCAAGTTTATAAAGACAGAAAATGTCATTGAACGGATACGATTTTTTTATTTATTTATTTCGATTTTCATGGAATGTGCTGTTTAATCATTCTGCCAACAGTTTTTTTAACCAGTCAGGATTTTTAGTTGTGTCACTGTGCTACTTAGCAAACCCTCCAGTCTTATGATGTTTCGTCAACAGGCGTCACTGTATTTCTATGCGGGATGGCTATCGCAGTTCTTGGATCCCGTTGCCATGCTCCTACTGTGATGCTGGCAAATTTTATTGCCACCCCAATAGAGCTGAGGTATTTATGCTTGTAATTCCCAATATTCGCAGCACTATTACTATTTGGTATTTTGCTTAAACCACATCGATCTCAAATTTCCTGTTCAATAATGATATGCTCCAGTTCTATCACACGTTTTGGTCAAACTTTGAGATTGATCTCCGGATGGAACATAGCAAGTTTGTTACTTTTTATGTTATTGTGTGTGGCTTTGAGAACACGAATTCATCTATTATGGTGCTTATATGGGTCTAAGACGTTTATATCTTGCCGAACTAATTTGTTACTTGTTCCCCCTACATAATGTTTATATCCCGTCAAGTAGTTTCTAGCAAACTTTTATCCATGAAACGCATGATAACTTCTTTCATTTCTAAACATTTATGCATGTATTGGCTCATGAATTGATTTTTTTCCTCTATTACTCTGAGCTATTATGTTTTTGCTTTGAAGCCTGGTGATACCTTTCTTGCGCTTTGGTGAAGTGATCTCTGGCGGATCTCATTTTCCTTTGACATCTGATGCTTTGAAGAAAGTTTTAACTGGTCAAGCATCTCGTGATGTCCTGCTAAGTATTGCTCATGCGGTAAGTGCCCAGTTTGATATATTTTATTCTTCTCTCTCTCTCTCTCTCTCTCTCACACACACACACACACGCGCAATTGTGTATAAAAGAATATATAATCTATGTGAAGTTATTTATACTTACCTTAAGGTAAAGAGAAGGATCAAACTGCAGCTTCCGAGTTTACTATTGTTGCAAGTTTGAAATATTGGATTAATGATTATAGAAGAGAAATATGATGCAACTAGAAAGAATGGCATTAGAAGCAGTTATGCTAAATGCGGAAGTGTAACCGTTGACAGAATCACCTTCATCTATTATATGATGTTCTCATCCTGCACCTTTGTCTTTAAAGTTGTGTCTGAGAATCTAATCTATCATTAGTCTCTGCAGTTGCTTGGATGGCTTGTTGCTGTGCCTTTTATTTTGGCGGCATTGTACATATTATTTTTACCATGTTTCAAGATCTTGGTCCGCAAGTTCAGTGCCCTTCCTTCAAGCCCAAAGAAACCACTCCATTCGCATTCGGAAGTGAAGCTTAAGGTAAGGGATGTCTGAGCAGCTTCGCAAAAAAGTAACTAGATGCTTCACTCGTCCCTTGGGCTTGAAGGGGAAAACTGGATTATGTGTTTATAATGCCACATGTACATAGAACATTGTTGTACTTTCTACTCAGTATGTCGTATAAGTGTCATGCTTATTCGCATTCAACCAAAATGTTGTTGGCCTTTACACAGAAAATTCATGAAAATACACAGATGATTGGTTTAACTGTTTTGGCTGGATACTGATTGCTGATACATGTTCAGGTAGGATTTTTGCTGATTTTTCATGGGCGTTTTAGCACTTGTGCCTCTTGATGTTCTTGTGATTTGGCACTTTCATCTTTGAAATGTTTCGGGGGGGCAGAAGTGCTTAAAACCCTTTCCATGCTACTGGTTTAGGGCCGAGTCTTGTGAAAATGTGGTCTCTCTTTTCATTGAGATTAGAGGCTGGCTGCGTAATCGTTACTGCTTTTGCATTGTAAAAACCTTCCATTGCAAGATATGATGATAGTCACAGAAATAAGAGATTGGTTCTTTCTAAGATTTCAGGTAGAATTTCCAAGGCATGTTCCCACTCCTTTGATAATCTATAACTGAAAGAATATATTTGAAATTATTGAAAGAAATTAACCGCAATATAATTGAATGGCAAACAGTATTTTTGAGTGGTCTGGATATTGTTGGAATTAGGGTTAGTCATCCGGATAGCGACACGATTCGAAATCCGTACGAAATTAGTGGGTTTGGGTCATAATTGGGTTGACACGATTAACACGATTAATAAATGAGTTGGGTTAGGGTTGACCTCTTAATACGAAGTGACACGAATTGACACGATTAATTATATGTGTCATTTACAATTTAATGATATGTGATATAATATAAAAGTTTATATGACATATTAAATATAAATAATGTGAATTTTAATATTTGTAGGTAAAATTTATTTATTTTTTCTTAAAAGAAAAGATAAATTGACTAATAAACATGTCGTGACTGTGTTAAATAAGTAATTATTATATTAGTTATTTATTTAATATATTAATTTAAATGAATTATAAGAGTTAGCATGATTAATAAATGGGTCGTGTTTAGATTGACATAACATGTTTAATAAACAAGTCATATTTAAGTTGATATTTTTTAATACGATTAATAAACATGTTAACACGAACACAATCCACTAACAAAAATTGTCATCCTTAGTTATGTTGCCATAAGGTTGTTTTAGGATGGTCTTTTATCCGTACGATTTGACACTGAAACAATACCATAAGAAGTTTATCCTCTCAATTCTATAATGGAAGATACAATATTACGTTTTTATCCATTTTATTACAGGTTTTGACACCGCTTGCATCATTATGGTCGGCACCAAACAAGAATATTCAGAACAAAACTAAATTTACTTCCATTTTCTTGCTTGAAAAATTGTTCTTTTATTAATGGGCATGATGCCGAAATGGATGATCATGATAGGTATTTGATTGTTGTCATGTTCGTAGTTTAAGTAGCAAAATAATGGTGGAAAAACAGGGGATTACAGTGCATACGAATTTTGGTTATAAGAAAAGATAATTGGTAGGGCAATACACCGATACGTATCTCTTAATCGTGAGATAAAATATTACTATTAATTTGCTAAGGACCTTAATATAACATAGCTTATCACAAAATATCTCATATTATCTAGTAAAATATTAGCATACCAACATAGATATCTCGTATTATCTTAGTATAATACAGCATACATACATACCAGCATATAATATTCCTTCCAAAAAAAAAAAAACACTAAATAAATAGACAAATGAATATCTCACATGATATTTTTCTTAAACGGAATATCCATTTTTCAAATACAATAGTCTGTTTGTGTTATAGGGAGTCTATATTTTCGCACCAACAAAAGAATTTTCCGAACAAATTGGGGAGGTTCACTGGGGACTTGCGTGTTTGTTAGTGCAGTAGGAGGAAAAAAAAAAAAAAAAAAAAAAAAAAAAAAAAAAAAAAAGGGGGGAAACCCAGAGAAATAAAATAGATTGGGTGGGGGTGGGGCCAAAAGTCAAACCGAAACAAAGAAAGAAAGAAACCATTGACGAAATCAAGATCCATCTCCATTATTCATCAGCTTCACTGCTTCAGGCCTTCAGCTATAAAAGTCGAGATTTTTATCTACTAATTCTATTCATTCCACTAATCTAATCTTATTTTTTTATTTATTTTAATTAACGCAACACTCACTCACTGTGACCCACACGTGACGTGAGTCTTCTTCTTCTTCTTCTTCTTCTTCTTCTTCTTCTTCTTCTTCTTCGTTGGCATTTGCCTCTCTCTCCTCCAAGAAAGCTTGCTCTAGCCTTTCTGAATTTCTTCTTCTTCGTTCTTCTTCCTGAAATCGACCCAACAACTGTTCCTTTAGCAAGTAAACAGAAAAACTGAAACTTGAAACTGCAATATTTGTGTTGGGGGTTTGGAATTGAGCATATTAATATATCGATAATAATATAGAATGTCTTACAATAATAATTTAGATCCGCCTCGTACAAACTCGACACCAACACTTTCAACTAGTGCTTCCAGTTCAAGCTCAAGTCAAGTGAAGGTTTATCAGTTCTTCATGTTCTGCGTCCCCATATTCTTCACTTTTCTCCTTCTCTTTTTGTTCTATTTGTTCTATCTTCGCCCTCGTCGCCTCAACTGGTCCTCTCTTCGCATGCCAACCTCTTCCACTCTCAATTTCGACCACTTTCTTCCCACGGTAGCGTATTATTACTAAAATTAATTACTATTTCAATCTCTTATCATTTCTTTATCTTCATAATTTATATGTCAAATACTCAATGGTTGGGTTTGTGAAAACAATTTGAGGGTGCAGATTGAGTCGTCGGGGTTGAACAAGGAGTTGCGAGAGATGCTTCCCATTATTGTCTACAAGGAGAGCTTCTCTGTCAGAGATACCCAGTCAGTTTCCTATTTATTCCCGACTTTCTATTTTATTCTATTTCGCGCCTCTCTTTCTCCTTTTCCTCTTCTCTTTGGGAAATTCTGAGATTTTCCCCACTTTTAGAGTGAAATGTAACGGTTCAATGTTAGATCTTCATCGAGTTCTGTTAAATTTGCCTACTTTTTTCTTTTCTGTAAAAACAAAACAAAAAAATTAAAAAAACAATTTCGATCTGATTTGACGGTTTGAAGTGTCCCGGGGCATTTTTGGATCTACGTTTTAGAGCACCTTTACCAAATTTCCAGATTTTTTATTTACCTCTTAGAATAGGAAGTGGAATTGAAAACAATCTAATTGCCTTTCTATGTTTTGTTGACTTGAGAAAACTGGAATTCTAATGGCATGGCTTCCTGTACATACTATTATTAGTCGAAATTTATTAAGGTGGCATTGGCAAAAGTCACTGTGGTTTATCACTCATGACCGTACCTCATATGATTCCCACTAAATTCTCGTTCCTAATTTTGTAAGTGAACACATGAATAGGCGACAAATAAACATTCCCCCCATATTATATTTGAAGTCTGGCAGTACTAAACTTTTCTTAGCTATTCTTGAATTCCCATAAATTTAAGATTGAGCAAGTCAAGAAACTATACAACCAATGTTTTGTTTTTAAACTTGTAAGAGTTAAAAGGCCAATACATTACATTAATGTTAGAAATTCAAGGTCTTGAGTCGAATGCCAATTCTGTTATGAAAATTTTTCTAATTAGAAGAGTTAACATTGTCATTGACATAGATGTTCAGTGTGCCTCGGAGACTATGAAGCAGATGACAGGCTTCAACAAATACCTGCGTGCGGCCATACATTTCACATTGATTGCATTGATCACTGGCTTGCCACCCACACCACCTGCCCGCTCTGCCGCCTATCCCTGCTTTCCTATGCTAAATCTCCAGCTGAATCGTCTAATATACAGGTTGGAAATACACTAGGGCCTTCTGTTGCGGAGAATGACGGTGAATCATCTCTTCAACAGAGTCCTGAGCCGTGTGAACAAGTCGCCGAGTTGAGGACCAGGGATGCAATGCACAACAGCGGTGAAGAAAATGCGGGAAGATCTCATTGTGTTGATTGTGAGAGAGAACAATCGGAGTGCAAGGGACAAGCCATTAATGCATAGCATCCTGGTGAGTTTTGGGGTAATCTGCTGTTTGTATATACTACTTGCACAGATACTGATGAATGATAGGATTAAAGTTGTGAAAATTAGATGAAGTTTCTTAGCTTTTCCTAGTCCCAAATCTTCTTATTAAAAGTGGGGGAGAAGATTTGTTTCTTGGTTATAAGAGCCGTTCATGGGACTTTTTGTTTCTCTTTTGATTGTTGTGGAAAACGTTAATAATGGATGGGGATCAAAATCACACCTTACTGTTGTACGATGAAAATAAGCTTGTCATATATTAAGATTTGAATGACGATGGGAGTGCGGAACACGAGGACTGGTTGTTTGCCAGGTAAGATATAGACTCCTGAAGACCAATCAGAACAGCAAGTTAGAGTTGGTTAATTTTCTGCTGGGGAGAATCCTCACGGCTATTTCGAGTTTGCTGGAGTGAGAAACTGCACAGGTTTGGGAACTCTTGATAGGGAGAGCTTCATTAACTCTGAGGGTGTGCAAGAAATGGTGTGTCCCGAACATCGTTAAATTGGTGTGTTAATACTTACTTGCACTCTCTTGGATTGTTTACTGTTTAATTGGTTTGTGCTTGGTATTCTGAGTTTTGGTTTTCCTGTTTCTCTGTGGTTCTTGATCTGGGGGTTGTTTTTGGTTCAGTTGACAGCAACTGACTGGTATACTCTTCTTAAACAACTGAGCTGCTAAATTTGTTGAAAAAATTCGTACCATATTAATGCAATACATGTAATTCAGCCTATGTTTTGTGGTTCATAAACTGCTCAACAGGTAGGGTCCACTGGCTGAGCAATGGAAGAAGCTGAAAGAAACGTCAAGAATCTGATTGCTGCATCAGGCATGCTATTCGTAATTTTTAATAGCAGACAAGACACGAGATTGTTTGATATTTTTCTTTTTAATAGCAGCAGTAGGCATGTCCATGAGGAGGAACGAGATGAGTAGGCAATACTACCATCAAGCATGACATGAAGCCCGGAAAGATGGACAACGAAGCCACTAATCAACAAGAAATTCGTAAAAGAGAATCGGTGTACCAAAGAAGGTCCTCTAATTAACAGAGAAGACTAGCTTCAATGAAAGTTGTTTTTAGTTGGATCTGATGTAGTTTATTAGCCTTGATTCAATACAGAACTCAGTCTCAGATACATTGTTTTCATTCCTTCCATTCCATGCTATAATTATAATATAATAGTCTGGCATGAGTTAAATGAACTGAAGAACTCTATTTAAACGTCTTTTAGAGCTGTTTACTAGTTAGTTAGGAACGTGCAAACGCTATTTTGTCTATGAAGAAACGCTAGTGATGATGTAGGCTATTCACTATTCTCTGATATCGGAATTTCAGAATTTAAGATCTTGTAATCTTTTTCGGTGTGAAAAAACTTTTTACATCTTTTCAAATCATGTGAAATCCTCCTTATCATGTTTAAGTCTTATAGGACTTTCTTTAGTTTCGATCATCTTTGTGTAAAAATTGTTTATTCTCATATATTTATTTATTTTAATGCTTTATCATATTTAAAAATATCAAAAGAAGTATTTTCTAAAATGTCATATTTTTGCAACAAAGTCGTGCGTGGAAATTGTGCTTTTTGACTTTTGTAAATGCTATTTTTGTATTTCTTCCCAATGTTTCCTATGCATGTTGAATAGGAGAACATGATTTTAATGGAAGTCCGAAAAGTGAAAACTTGTAAGTTATTTTTTAGTTTTATTTTGCAAAATAATGAAAATAACTGTCATTTTCTTGTACATTTAGTAGTCTTTTTTTATAGACTCTAGAGGATGTATTTGAGGGCTTGTAGTCGAATGTGACATCTTGTAAAAGTTTTCTAAATTGTCTTTTACAAATGTTTGAGAACATAATTGTGAGAGAGAGTAGAATTAATTAAAGAAAAAGGCAAAGAATTTGATAAAAATCGAATTTGTCTACGAGTATATGTCGGTCGTATGATGTTTGAGAGGTAATCTCATCACTTTATGCATATTTTAGTGACTTAGGCTTAGTTTAGTATTATTGTAGATTTTGGAAAAATTACTTTCAACTGTGCAAAAAGAAAAAAACAACTGTTACAAAAAACAGCTGAGTATTTGGTAAATTATAATTATAGTAGCTGTGCTGGTTCTAAAATCAGTATAATAGTGTTTGGTAAATTATGAGGTTGAATTATTGTAGATAATTAAAAATTACGACTATATTATATTATACTATAATATAATATAAAACTATTATTATATAATATATTATATAATTACGATATAGAATATAATAATATTATTAAAATAACAATTGAAATAATTAAAAATTATGATTAAATTAAATTAAATTAAATTATAATATATATAATTACAATATAATGTATATTTATTATTATATTTAATATAATACAATAAAATTATTATTAAAAAATATATTATATAATAATGATATAGAATGTAATAATATTATTAACATGGTTAATAAAATTACAATATTATAAAACATATTATAATATAATTAAAAATTACAACTATATTATATTATAATATATTATAATATATTATAATATAATATATAATCATTATTATATTATATTAAACAAATATATTATAATTTATATATTATATGACCATAACGTGTGTAATAC